TGGAAATCATTACCTGATTCATTACCCGATATGATGTTAGAGTTGGGTTGTTTTTTATTTCAAAACACGTTTTGCTTACACATTAGATGATTTTGGAAAATAACAGGACAACTTAAGGGCCAGTTCAACCTTGAGCTGAATAGAAAATTGACATTTTTGCTTTTCATGAATCAGGGATATAATAGACCCTATCTATATAGCTCTGGAGAGAGTGAACCTAGAATATTTCACTTAAAGCTGTGCTTACCTCATTACCTGAAAGATGTAGAAAAACTGGATGGAGTTCAAAGAACAATAGAAGGAAGGATTGGTTTATAGGGTAAGATTAAAAGAAACTCAGCATTTACACTATAACAAGCAAAAAAGCTCTGTAAGATAAATAGACATTTTTATTTTGAAATAAGGCTATCACCAGATAAACTTGTTCTGTTAGGGTAAAAGCCCATGCATTAGAAGTGCTGAAGTAACAACCTGTATGCATACTTTCATACTGGTTAGACTCAAGGCAGCCCTCTGAAAATTCCAGCTCTTAGCTTTCACTTGCTTTTTGACTAGAGAAATATAACAGAACAATTCTTCTGATCCAAAGAACTGAGAAAGTTTATAATAGGTCAGAATAGGTCAGAAATATCTGAGTTTATCTTGTGAATCGTGTAGATGTTTGTGCATCTAACAATGCTAATATTGTGTGGTACCCTGTGGCACACTTAAAAGGATCTCTCAGCACACGAGGCTGCTGTAGCACTGGTTGGGAATCACTGGTCATCTTTACACATGCTTTGGGGTGGAGGCAGGGGTGCTTTAATTAAAGCACCTGCAACATCACATATACTCAGCATCCCATGCTTCAAAATGATGGTGGGGGCACTTTAATGAAAGTTTGTTCGATGAGCTTTAGTTAAAGCGCCCCCCACTGACATTTTGAAATGCGGGGGCACTGAATACACATGACGCAGAGGCTGCTGGAGTGCGTTAATTAGCATGCTCCAGCAGACCTGATTAATTGAGTTTGCCATGACGAGTACTAATTAGCACACATCAGAACAGAGCTCCATCACGTGTATAGATGTCTAATGATGTATATCCCAGTATATGGATGCTAAACTATAGTAGCTTAATTCTCAATGAAAGGGTTTGTGAGAAATCACTACAGAGCAACTGATCCACAATAAGTCTCCATCACTTTTTGCCATGAGGCAACCAATCTGTCTGCCCATACCTTTATACCTTTTTCCTATTAAATTTAATCACTTCCATTTAAAATGTATGATAAATCTGAAGAATGACACAAATTCTGGTATGCAGCCACATTAATTTTTTCAGGTTTTTAACTTGACCTCCTCTGTTATCTTTGAACATTTCTGTTTCTTGATCCAAATTCTTAAAAGGAATGTGAGGCTATTAGCCATCATGAGCTCTTCTCAGCTCCTGAACTCAGCTGACATAAATCAGTAAAGTTCATTTACTTCACTGGAACTACAGTGACTTACAGCATGGGAGGATCTGACCTATCTTGAGTTTTAATGCTTAGATATTGAGGGCATAACCAGCCGCACCTTTTAGACAAAATAATTTCTGTTCTTTTCAGTAATTCATATGATGCAGGGAAGCACTTCTGAGATACTCAGCTGAAACACACCATTCATATCACTTCCTCCCTAAACAGAACTGTGAACACATGGTTCCAGCGCTGAAGAGGTTTATGTGTTAACAGCATGGCACGGCATTACCTTTTACTCCTCTATGCTGTAGTTAAATAATACCTGTAACATCTAGGCATCTTCTGTGCTGTCAAAATAGTAGTTGGAGATGGATAATTGAAATGAAAAACAAGTGGTTTATTTTAAAGGGTTGTTTTAACAAAAAAAGCTGGGGGAGGAAGTAGTGTGATAAACTTTTAGGTGCCCATTGGGGGCACTCAGGCATGGCAGTTGATAAATTGTTCATCTCCAAGAAATTATTATGGACTCAAGCCCCTTCAATTAAATTGGCACATCAAGATTTCTGACTCTGTCATAACTTTGAAGTAGAAATAATACTGCAAAACAGTGGCAGGTCTGCCTCTGAGGTACTGCCCAGCTGAGAAATCTCACCATCCACAGGTCAGAGCCATAACAGTGTGTTTGGTTTGGCATAACTCCACTGAAGTCAACTGGACAATACTGAATTACATCAGTTTAACACCTGGCCCCAAATATCTAGGTTTCCATCAGTTAAGTCAAATACAATCTTGCAGGTATTTAAAGAGATGGTGGAGGGCACTTACCGCTGTGCTCAAGTGTACACGCTGTGTAGTCTAGCTGCAGCTGCCTCTGAAGCAATTTTTCTTAAAGCAGCACTTGGAAAAGGTGCTCACATTTTTCTCCAGTGCAGGGCAGCTTAAGCATCAGCCTAAGGGGCACATTGAAAAGCTGTCTACCTGATCACTGCATGTGTATCTGCCACTCACTGTTGGAAACAGGGTTAATCACATCAAACCTTCACTATTTAGCAGCTCAGCCCTTTGACTGAAAGAGTGGAAAGGAACAAAGCTTTGCTGTAATCTACTTGTCCTCACTGAAAAACTGAGGTTGGATTGTAGGGGCAGGAAGAGAGGGTATTCGGCTAGTGTGGAAGGAGTCATTTATAGCTAATTAGACTTTTGACACAATGGGATGGAGAGACAGCCCAATTGCATGGGAATACTCTTAGTGCACTCTCATAGTCCTTAGGCCAAATCCCCTAAATTGGGAACATTACTGACCAGCAGTCCACCCCCCACACCCTATTCCTACTAGACCCCATGCAAGGCACAGCATCCCTATAAAAGCAGCTACAGCAGGAGACCAGATGCATGCTGGAGGTACTTGTTAGGAGGCCAAAGGTTTGTATGCACATGTATTGTATTTGTTTGGCATCCAGGGATGTGTATGTGCTGGGAGAGAGGGAAAGGAAAAGGAAGAACTCAGAAAGTAAAGACTAGGGTAAAGGAGACCTTCTTCCTTCCTTGGGACCCAGTTGGCTGGCCAGCAACACTTCACCAATGACTTCCCCTATTTAAATTCAGGGAGAGGGAAAGAAAGTGTCCAAGCAACAGGGTTGTTTTCACCTTTTGATTTTATTCTTGCAATTTGCTTGCCTTTGATCCTCTAGTGCCTGACCTGCTCTTGGACTCTGGCTGCCAGCCCTGACACTGGCTTTGACTCAATGGCTCTGTGACTCTGGCTCTGATGCCATGACCCTCCAACCCGATAAGCATGATCATTTACTATGCCCCAGGGTTGGCTGCCTATGTTCCAGTGCTGACACTATCAGGAAGAGCAAGGATGCCAAATGAAGACGATTGCTGAGGGAAAGTTAACTAGCAAGGTTGTTTGCAACAGCATGTAATGGGCATCTGTCCTTATTTCAATATTGCCACCCTCAAATACTCAAAAACCAGGCCTAAGACAATTATGAGATGAGTTAAAACAATTAAAAGATTTCTTCTTTTTCCTTTCATTCCCTTAAATAATATTTTGGGCTTTTTTACTTCAACTTTTTATATTTATCAGAGTATTGTTAAATCATATTCACACTATTTCCTTCTCAACTGTAAGAGCTAAAAACAGGTATATTTTTAAAACAGATATATTTAAAAAAAACTAAAGAAAAAGAGCATTACCTAATCCCTTGTGCCTAGGAGCAGACACAGCAACACAGAACTAACAGCTTTATTTAGACAAACCTTTTATTGACAGCTATAGGATGTTTACACATACAAGCTATAGGATCTGGCCTCTCCCCTCTATCATTTATTTTTATGGTGTTTAATTATTCTTTGGTTGTGAAAATGTTCACAGACCATAGACATGGATTATCAAAAGAGCTGAACATAGCAGCCCATAAGTGCCACTGTGGGTCCTGAGAACTTTTGAAAATCTAGCCTGGGACTGTCTTGGGAATTGTACAATGTCAGTCCTTTCTCTTTTATCTTTGGAGCCATACTTCAAATGTATTCTCTCATATGAGGGCACAAACAGCACACACAAACACACACAAAACTTGACTTGAGATTGCCTAAAATATTAGACAAAAATAAAACAAAATTTTGTCCTGTTTAAAAAAATGAGGTACATATTTGATAAACAGTGACCAAGGTCTGGTTATTCTTCAGTGGCCTCAGAATAATATGTTTAAATAAGTATGTAGCAGCCTTTAAAAAATGGACCCACCTGAACAGAAGGGGAAGGGCCTCCTGGCAGAGAGAGAGAGTTTGTCCCAGAGGGGACACTGTAGGCTCTGAGGGCAAGTGAAGCTGCTTTGGGAGCAGCCCTGTTGGAAGTGGGAGGGATGATGTAACCCCAGCAAAATTTTGAAAGAGAGCCGTTAGCAAAAGCCCGGGAAGGGCCCTGAGCTGGGATTGGCTGAGAGGCTTGGATAAAAGGGGGAGCAGTTTTTCCTGTGGGGGTGGGGGAATGAGAGAGCGAGAGCGAGCGAGCGAGCGAGCAAGCAAGCAAGCACGCACGCACGCACGCACGCACGCACGGGGGGGGGCGCTGAGGGACAGGCTGGAGATTGGATTCAGAGTCTCAGCATTGTGGTCCCTCAGAGAGCCCCCAAGAGAGCCTTGCGGAAGCAGCAGCAGAGAAGCTGCAACGGGAGTGACACAGTATTCAGTTCTTCTCTCCAGCCCTGGAAGGCTGCCACGGCAGGATCAGGAAGGGACTGTTTGTGTGGAGACTCCAAGCCTGGAGAGACCTGACTGCAGCCGGTGTGGCTGGGGGGGGACAGCAGAGCGGGGGGGCGGGCCGA